TCAAAATATCTTAATTTCTATGTTTTCTGTATCATGGATGCCCAATTGGAAATCCACACACTACACCACAGTTAATGCCACAAAAATCTTATTCGCAGGGGTCATTAACTGAAATTACTAATATTAACCAAAAAGAAACTATTTTTATTTTACTACTTGTATGTCCTTTAAATGATAAGTTCCTTATATTTTTCCTACCTCATTACCAATTCATATTAAGGAACTGAAAATCTTGGGACTGCTCAGGCTAGGGACCAACTTAAAAGATTTCCAGAAATCAATTCCTAAATAAACGTCCTGGGTTAATGTTGGGATAACGTAGAATTCAATAGGCTTTGTTTCGCCACGATAAGAAATGTTAGTCACATATTTTCCTACCACGGGACATTTATTATTATTAGCCGTTCGAATATTTCCCGAACATTTCTTAAGTTTGTGATTGCTCATAATTTCGGTAGCCGCGTTTCCACCTAAACAACTTACGGATGCTCCCGAATCTAGCAATGCAACATAATTCTTCTCTCCTACAATGATGTCTGTATATAGCCTATCATCAGAGTTACCAAGTATAGAGGAAACTAACTTTCTCCTGATATTGGTTATATTTCTCCAAAATGATTTTAAACGAGCGGTCGAGCGTTTTTGTTTTCGTTTGGGCGTCGAATTTTCGTATCCGAATATGCGACACTTTGCTGCATTATACCTATTCCATCTAATGTGTAGAGGTGCGAATGGGTTTCGCTCGGTAGCTGCGTTCAGTTTCTCTTGCGCTTCTTCAACGTTATTATTCTTGGGAATAGGTGTTGAGTATTCCGTTTGAGAATAAGCTTCTTTAACTAGTAGTTTGGATTGTAAGGATGCGTCAGATTGGTGGTGTTCTGCGCATCCCTCTGGCGGTTTTCCGTCGGGTTACAACGAGAGCATTTTGGTTTATAGACATCTTTAGCTCCGCAACCATAACAAAATACTGATCGGACTTCCATACAATCATCGAACCGATGTCCTGGATTCTGACAATTCCAGCAAACCATCTTCCTCCTGTGGATTTCGTCTACTTCCATTTCTACTTGCTCTTCTGACATGGAATATAATTCCGAAACGGAGCGATTTGATAACTTCGGTTTCATTGACTGCGTCTTGACATGCTTCTGAAATTGCTCGTGAGTACGGATCTCTTCGCGTAATCTAGCAAGAGTATTAATACCTAAATGCATCAATTCGTAACGTAACGAGTTCTTAGCATTTCGAATAAGAATTCGTATGGTGGATTGTTCCGAAATGGGAACCTTGAGTCTTCCTAACAAAGTTTCTACAGCGAACTGGTATTCTTCGAATGGTTCCTGTTCTAATTGCCGTCTAGCATTGATCATGTCCCAAATGTCCATGTCGGAGTCTACTTCCTGGAACTTTTCTCTAAATTCTTGCTGGAAGGTTTTCCAAGTGAAATTTTCACAAGAACGATGAAACTTCCAAAACCATTCATTCGCCTTTCCCGCGAACAACAAGTACAAATGATCACACAAAAGTTGGTAATCGCCTCCTAAGTTTTGTACTGTAAGGGAGCGAATACGATATAAAAAGTCTTCGACTTGCATGCCGTTTCGAGCACCATCGAATTTAATGCGCCAGCCTTGTATAATGCTTGCGACTTTTTCAGGGGAGATACTCGAAGCTCTAGAGTTTCCAACCGATGTCTCACTGATATGACTGATATTTCTGCGCATAGGTGGTAGTTGAGATTGGTATTCATTAAAGCATTGGGGAACGCTGGGTGACCTTGTGTCCTGATCCCTTGACTCGATATTAAGAGAAGTCATTTTGACTTTTAAAGCTTGCTCTATTGATGCGTTTATAATCTGGGAAATATTCTGTAACATGCTGTTTTGTTGAGCTTGTATACAAGATTGTACTAGATCGGTTATTTCGGTTCTGCCTAACACTTCTCGATCGTTATCAACCTCAAGGAGTTGTCCTTTACGTTGCATTGACCTTGTCTGTACCCCTCTTTTTGGTATAGCACCTTTCCCTCTGGTACTGGGATTACCTCTGGATGGTTCAACGCTAGGATCTATAGTTTCTCCTACGGTTTCTGCCTCGTTCAATTCAATCATTAAATTATTGTTTGCAAGAGAAAGCCGGTTAACCGAGCAACTACTATTGCAAACGGGACAAATTGACTTTGCTTGTAAAAGTGGCATTAAACAGCTGTAATGAAATTTATGATTACAAGGAGTCGTTGCCAACATCTCATTCAATGTCACAGGTTCACAACAAATGGAACAAATAAATTCCTGCTCTCCTACGCTTTCAGCTGGATTCTCTAAACTGTGTCTCACTGCCATGGTGAAATACTATATTATCTTTCCGATACACAAATGATCAAATTGATCAAAAGAAAAAATGTAAAATTATAAATATAATAATAAAAAATATCAAAAATCAACAAAAATCAAAATCAAATCAAATCAAAATTAAAAAAACAAATTTAGTCCGCCACCAAAACTCCTATATAGCTCTTCGGGAATCCGAAGTGTGCTGGAACAAAAAACTGATAAAATAAAATCTCTCTTTCTCTGATTCTATTTGGGGATACACTATTAAATTACTGACTCGTATACTTCCGATAAAATGTACATCCGGTTGGTCAAGAGCTAAAATTCCTCCAGCGTCTTGCAGTTCCTAACCAGGATTTATTATACGGACCTGATACGTCTGAAATTATAAAGCATGGTGAGGTCTGGTTATGCACAGCAGTCGCTCTGGTCGATCAGTCCAATCTGCTGAACTGCAATCGCAATTCCGAGAGACGAACCGCTTGTGGATTCCATTGCCCTCCAAGTTAAACAGACTTCATAGGTATTACGAGAAAAAAAATACTACTTCGATATATTAATGTCTGACGGGTCAAGATGCCAAAAAAAACTCTAACTTCTTGCAGTTCCACGAAAGACAAAAAAAAAAAATAAAAGGAATCTGACTAGTTAATAACCTTCTAAAGCTAAAACTCTAATCAGGCCCCTGACGTTGGGCGCCAATTTTGTAATGTGTGGGTACTGTGAGTTCAAAAACAGAACCAAGATGCAAGGTGTTCTGCAAGGTCCATAGGATATACCTTAGGGACGTATGGATGGTAGTGAAGGGCGTGCACTTCTTGTGGTCTTAGACTTAGCTCGACGGATGGGGGAGGTTCTTTTTCACGTATCCATACTACACATCATCAAAATAAATTAAGTGCACTAGCTCGAAAATTCAAGAAGAAACCCGGATGATTTTACTTTATAATCAAATCCGAAAACAGAAACAAATCCCCTAAAATACAAATAGCTTCAGAAGAGAGAGAGAGTGATTTCGATCAGTTGTAGGGTAATTAGATGTTCATTATACCCTAGTCTTAACCCACCCGACCTTGGCGAGATCTACGACGTTTGATTCGCCCCATATCACAATTCTATGTGATACCTATTGTGGTTCCAGCATGGCTATTTAGGGGTTCGGCGGCGGAACGGTTAGAGCCTTAAGCCCTCATGAAGTTCAAAATATTCAAATAAATAGTCTTATAAAATTGATTCATTTTACAAATTAGGGTTTTCTATTTAAATAAAATAATATCGCCTTAAAATCTATAACAATTCATTTCGTTATCATTCATGTTTAAATTTAGATATATATATATATATAAGAAAAATTAATATTATTAGGATAAATTCAAGAATTAAATTTAGCTACATTTTAGATTAAATATTAAGAATTAATAAATTTGCGAGGATAAATATTCCAATGATTCAAGATTCATGGCTCATAAATTTAAGGTATAAATCAAAAGACTGAGTAATTTCTTTCAGTGGTATTCACTTACCGAAGTTCACCGCCGTTGAGCTCAAGGACAGGAATGCTATAGGTGTTTATAAAAATAATTAATAATAAATAATACAATAAATTTGCTTGGCCATGCTCGAATATTATCGCAAAGTTCGTACGTAAATTAAATTCCAAATATTATTCTTTTAAATTCATCGTGACTTATATATATATAAATTTATATTTATTCATATTAAAATTAATCAAGAAAATGTAAATGCTAATTATCTGAATTTAAATCATTAAATAATTTGCAAAATTAAAATTAAAAATAATAAGTGGGAGGGACATTTTCTTTCGTGAAAACTCCATATCAAAATAAGCAAAATATAAACTGCAAAGCTTTGAATATTTAAGCGGGCCAATATATATATAAAAATTCACTGCTGCTGATACGACCGTAACCACATATTCGCTGGAGTTTTCTCTCCGTGTAGTCATCCAAAATTTAATGGAAATAATTCCATCCGATTTGATCGGAATTAATTCCGGTCAATGTCGCTGAATTCCTTAATTAGACTAGACGATTAAATAATGTCGTACTAGTCAATTATGTAACTCCTTGCTAGCCGATTGCATAACTCGGTACTAGCCGCACTGGCACGTGGCACTGGGGAAAATAATTCTTTAAAGAAAACTGCACTGTACTAACTTAAAAACATACCTGGCTTAAAATCACTCAATCACTATTCACTGATATCCACAGCTAATCCCGCTGGGATTTAATAAATTCTTCCATAGATTTTGATTATAATAAAAACGAGTTTAAATATAGGCTTAATAATGCAGCCTTATCGCTTAAGCGTATGCAAGTTAGTGTCTAAGCTTCCCTATGCAAATCTAGCCCTAACTATGCTAGAATAAAAAGCTCTCAAAAGCTTTCACATAACTGATGCTGCACTATGTATTATCTCGATATGCAAAAACCAATAGATAAGAATCGCGTGATATTTTCGTTCGCTTATCCAAGGTGACCGGAGAATAATAGATACAACACAATAAGCTTTTCAAAATATCTTAATTTCTATGTTTTCTGTATCATGGATGCCCAATTGGAAATCCACACACTACAGTTGTTACTGAAAACTATCTCAGTCCAACTCAGTAACCCGAACCTGCATTCCCCTCATGGCAACACTTACCGCGTTTCAATAATAAAATGCGTGACGGGCGCATTCCGCGGGTGCTGAGAATGCGCCCAGGATAAGTTCACCGAGCGTGATGTGAAACTTATCAACAATGGTCGCTCCGGCGGATCGGGCACATCTGCGAAAAGAAAAGAAATCCAGAGTATGAGAGCGGGGAAGGATAAAAAGGCCACCAGCTATCAGTGAAATGCAAATGGAAATCATATCAAGGCGAGTGGGAATGCGAGCTCCAACGCGAGGAGCGGCAACAATGGAAACACAAGTGAGAAATCGAAGGAAAATAAAAAGCAAGGCATCAGTTAAGGAAGACATATCGCGAAATTAAATCTCGGGGCCAAGGATGTTGGTCAAGTAAACCGGAAAAATCATTAAAGTAGTTAAGGGTTTCAGCGCGAAAGCAAAAAATACAACAGAAATAAGAGAGATACCAACCTTGAACTAGCAAGTCGACAATGGCCTCCGGTATGTGACGATCGTTCACCAGACATATATATTCCGCTGTATCACTCGCCAAGGAGGGCGAGAATTGCAGTCCAAAGTTATCCGATAAAAGTTGTATCTAAAATGAAATTAGGGAAGTTAATTAGAACTTTTGTTTCATGATCCAAAAATCGAAGTATTCCAGAGCCAGACGCTTGGATAATAGCTACACGAGTTTCCACTTTGGCCATGACAAACTTTTAAATAAAAAGATTCGTATATACTATAGGACGGACGGCTCATCCTTCCTGGAAACCAACAAGAAAATGCACTGCCTGTCATCGACCTCAGCCTAAAACTTTGTCCAGTATCTCAGGCAAATTTGTTTTGGCCACAACTCCACTTCCCCTACTCATAATTAAACTATCTTTCCTACACGTTCCGTTGACTAAGTGCCAGTAAATTTAACTAAGATTGGATGCTTGTTTTTATGTTCGGATTTGCTGAAAATTTTGAAATTACTTTGAAGCAGAAAATAAACCTAATACACAGATGCAAGTACAAATGTATGCACCTTGTCCTGTCGTGTGGTTGGGATTCTCATCACAGATTGCTAGATCCTGTGAATATATTTCGAGTGAATTTATGGCAACAGTCCGTGTTTGTTTCGAATGGGAAATTACATTAATTCTAGTGCATAGCAGTCAATCCATCTTCGGGCAGCAGCCAAGGTATCTGGGTTATCTCCACATGCCTGACCCTGTTATTTATTTTTGTATCTTTCACTGCATACATGCCCTCAAATTATAAGTTTCAATGGAATCAGCTTTAGTTTCTCTATATTGTGCCAGCCGAATGCATTCTGCTCATTATTAGACATTGCTCCGAGAATATTTTCGAGAATATTCGCATGTGGAATTTTTAATTTGCAATTCTATGTTCTAGTAAACTCTAATTACATTCATTGCCCTTTTGACTCCTTACATGACCGAGTGCCTTGCCCAGCAGACCGAAAACACAGCGAGGATAAAGGGGAGCATTTTTGGGGGAAAACACAGAGAACCAACCGAAAAAAAATAAAAGGAGAGCTTGTAGAGGCAAATCCCTCCAAGTCCTATGGGCAAGTGGATCTCCTTAGTCTGCTTGGATTGTGCAAACATGAATCATTTCTAGCCTCGGTCATAAAACAAAAGTTAATAGCTCAACAGGGGTCTGGTCTGGGATGGGGATGTGTGTGGGGGTCATGTGTCAGATGTAATAAAATGAAGCAGCTACTGTGCCAAGGTGAAAAACTTTTAATACACATAATAGCCGGGCCAAGGAAGCAGCCGCCGCACTTGGAGGAAACTTCTTCGGGGCAAAAGAAATGCGAGCCGGGCTCTGAAGCCGGATTGGGACCAACTTTGGCTGCAGCTCAAGTGTCCCAGTCTGCCATTTAACACATAGCTGGCTAGCTAGAAGTACTCTCTCCTGGTCTAGAATAGTCTGGAAACACTGAGGAAAACTAAAGGTTTTCGGGGAAATTATACAAATATTTATAAGTCCAGAGGACATTAACAAAATTCCAGTGACTAACTATTTACTTTAAATTTTTTCACGATTCCTTGTTTCTTTTTTTTATCAGTGAAATCTTCTCAGGATTCTCAATCATCTTGTTCCCAACGAAGGGGCAACTTCATCATTCTGTTTGCGCCGCCTCAATGGCCCCCAGAGTGCGTTTAAGGCCACTGCAATCACTTCTGGCCCCTACCCTCTGCCATCTGGCAGCCACTTGAACATTTTTTTGCGCCGTGTCGCTTTTGTTTTAGTGCAACTATCAAACATTTAAAATATATTAGCCGTGCCGGCTGCACTCTGCACCCTGAACCCTTCCGGCTGCAGCCCTCTCTGGGCCCAACATTGATGGCCACTTAGTTGTCGGGGCTTTCGCTGCACTTTCTTGTAGTCATCGCCATTGTCGGCGGCGGAGGGCAAAGTTCAAACAGCCGCCCGGCAACCGGCTATCAATTATTTTAACAGCTTCGTTTTTGCGCGAAGAATGGGCCATATATATCACAGGCCCTCGGATCGCCCGTCCAAAGGGAGCAGCTCTAAGTGTTGAAATGAATTCTAATATGACGCGAGGGTGTAGTTTTTGAGTGAAAATTGCACGGCGAAAAATGATGCGATATAAAATGGGATAGAACTAGAAAACCATATTTCTCGCCAAGAATTTTTAAAATTAATTAATTTATTTACTTACCCTTGGACTGTGCAGCAGGGGTATCCGATTGGCAAACTGTGCAATGGTCGTTGAAGCCGTTTTCCACACCAGGGTGTCCACCAAGGAGTGCTCATTGACCCCCGGACACGGAATGGTCACGTTCTTGCCCGCCTCAGCATTCACCTTAACGTAGTCCAGATTTGTGACGTCTGTAAGAAATAAATAAAGGTAATGGTAAGTAACTAAGTGTATGTTATTCCAATATTTTTCTTCCTGTGCAAGGTTACGAGGCTAAAGAGGTTACGAGAAATAAAAAAAAGAAAATCAAGTAAGCCGACGGAAAAATGGTGAAAGCTTGCCAGAATTTGGGGCATTCCATTGAGAAAGTTCAGGCTACATGAGGAGGAGCCGCTTGGATCCTCATAAAAGAGGAGCTCAAGTTATTTGGAAAGGAACATTTTTTGGCACACAAAAGCGAAAAGCAGCCGCAAAATGTTTGGGCAAAATATCTGCAAGGCATTTTAATTACATAACATGTTTACGGAGCAGTGGCCCCTTCCACCACCACTCTCAAAAACGCTCCCCTAATGTCAGTGGCAGTGTTGAAAGCAATTTTATGCACTAAAGTATTTGGTCGATGCAGCTCCCAGTCGGTCACCTCGAACCCAGGTGAGCCACTCCCACCTGCAAGTCCGGTTAGTTTCATGCATGCCAGAGCAGCAGCAGAAGCAGAAGCATCAGAAGCTTACCTTCCGATCCTTTCGAGCAATATTTGTTTTGGAAATTGCCAAAAATGCATTGCAATTACGAGAAACCCGGAGTCGACTCACTCTTCTACGGGGCCTTCAATTAAAATTATAGAAACAACAAATCGATTGCCCTGTGGGCAGTTTTCCAGGGATTTAACGTAAGCAGCTTTGGCAGCTGCAGATGCACCACATTGCACTGCATAAATTGCCAAAGCGTCCAAGTGTTGGTAATAAGCATCAGGCATGACATCCACTCCAATTCCAATTCCATCTCCAGCTGCAGCACCAACTACTACTCCAAGACCTCCCAGGCTCCCAGGCAAAAATGAGGCTTTCGATTTTCGTTCGGGATCTGACTTTGGGGCCAGCACTTGCCAGCAATTGAGAAATCATGCTGAAAACCCAGCAATGACAACAGCCGCTCCACCAATGCCAAAAACCCACCCATTAGCCATGGATGGCACTGGTGCAATGGCAGTGGCAGTGGCATTGCCAGTTGCAACTCAACTGGTTGCCACAACGACTGCATTTCAAGTGTCCCCCATCGAGCAAATGGTTTTTGGGTTTTCGGAGCTCGGTTTTTGGCTTTTTCCCATTTTTGGACGCTGGGCAAGGGCGATTATTTCAAAATCAATGAAGCTTTTGTCCACTTAGGCCACGGCTACCCGTAAACGACTACAAAACTATCACTGGTTTATATATAAGTAATCGATTCATTGCCGTGTTGTCTGTGCTTTGGCCATAATTAAATTTCAGATCCTAGCTTGGGAGCAAAATTTCCTCTCGCAGTTGGTCCAGATTTTGGTGTAATTTATGGGTAACTTGATTATGCACTATGGAAAATGCATCACGGGTTCTATAGTTCCAATAATACCCTTTTGTGTTCTATTTTCTTCAGTGTTGGATTCAAAAAAGGTTCTGGGATTTTTGCATATTGGCCCACACGCATACAGATGAGTTCTAGCAGTCAGAAACAGAGGGCGAATCGCAGTTTAATTTCCTGATGCAACGGCCCCGAGCTCAGGAAACAATTGCACACAATTTACGATGGGGGTAGCGCCATTTTTGACGACTTTCCGAAATCGCAACGGCCAGTAGACGTAGACATTGGCAATTAAGGGGCAAAACAACGCGACAGTCAGACAGACGGTCAGACAGACGGGCGCTGTAAATAAATTATAATTATTTTGTACCATTCAAATGAGTGCCCAAGGGATTGGTCGCTAGACCACAGGAAAATTAGCCAACGACGAAATCGAAATAAGTAGTCAGACCAGAAACGGACGACCACCCCTCGGTTTCCGAATCGGGACGGGATTGAGCTAATAATCAAATTGAATGCAACCCCCGGCCAACTCACCCGGCAACAATTAATTTTATTTATGTTGATTCTAATCAACGGAGGGCAGGCAGTTGACTTGGACTTGGACTTTATTGTGCAGGCAGGCAGGCTGTCATGGCAAAAGATCCTTTGCTATTGAAATCCGAGCGGAAAACTCGCCAGAGCGCATGAAAGATGAAAATATTGAATTTATGCTTCAGTGCTTGGAGTTTCAACTGAAACACTTTTACCCACCCAGTACCAGAAAAATAAAAATGCACTGATAATAAATTTTATAATTAAATTGATAATAATTCCACACAAAAGTAAGTATAATTTTTAATAAGAATTTATAACAGGATTGTAGTAAACTGTAGTTGGTGTAGTTCCTAATTTTTTTATTTTTGTAACAAATTTTATTCTCAGTGCCACTCGACAGCTTTACAAATATTACAGCACTTAGCTGCGTCTGATTGTTTGTTCTGGGATCTTGGGAGCTCATCTGACCCGTTGTCATGTCAATTGTTGGAAAAAAAAAACACACTCTCGGTGCAGGGCCAAAGCTCTGTTGAGAAACTCAACTACAGAAGTGAAAAGTTGGACAACACAATAACCCATCGCCCCGTATAGTATTTGCTGCTATTGTTGCTTGGAAACTATTGAAGGATCATTTGCATGCAGCTACATCGAAACGGAGAACATTTAATGTGCAACTCAGACGTTGTCAATGGAAGTGCCATTTGGCAGTCAGTCGCCAGTTAACCCTATCGGCAACAACTTTGCCGCATTTGGCTTTCAATTTCAGCACATTCCGGGTGTCGTCTGTCGCTCCCCCATCTTTCCCTCCCCACCCCATTTGGATACATTTTGAATGGACTTTGGGTTTGGTGCGTGCAACCAACAAGTTGCAACCTTTTATGGCGTACACTTTGGAGTGCATCTATTTGGAAACCATTTGGATGCAATTTTCCGAGCGGATCGAGGGGAAAATCGCAACCAACGGTTTAACTGCACGGCAGGCAGCAGCCACTTGAGTTGAAAGTTCAAAGGGAACATTGAATAAGGATTCCCCTTCCACCCCACGAACGGTTCACTCGCATTAACAACCCTCCTTTCGGCGTGGTGCATCAATATCAACCAGGATTTAAGCCCGAATTGGATGAGTAATTATCCAATTAAAACTGAAGTTTCGGTCAGGCTGTGGACACTTGCCTGGAGACCCGACCTCGGGCGGTCTTATGGGTAACTTGGGGCACGTGGCCAGGACGACAGTCAGTCAACTGGCAGGACGCATGCACTCAAATTATATACGTGTTTATAATGTTAAAGTTATTTTTTAGGGATATATACTGTCAATATTAAAAATTCATTCTCAAGACTTGACAAGAGCTGTTTATCTTTAAAAACCATGTCTTATATTTTTTATTGCCATTCCATTTTTTGCTAGTGTATGGTTGAGTATCTGCGTTGGGCTGCCCGTCTATCTGAATTTCTGTATATCTGTCTGCCTGTCTACTGTTTGTATAGACACTTTCTGTCAGCCTGCGATGGCCGCCGACCGCCACAGAAGGCCACGAAGAATAAATGCGTGTGCAGACATCGATGGAAAGGACATGCGAACATCGTGCTCATGACAACCCACCCGCGCATACACTTACGCATAAGCCCACACACACACATGGCCACGAAGGACACAGACAGGCAGACAATATCCCTTTTTTTATGCCTGAACGCAGCAAATAATGAAATTATGACAACCAACCGAGGGTGGGGGAGGACTGAAACTGGGAAAAAGATGGGCACTTCTTGGGATGACGAAAACGAGATAAAAGCTGACAAGTGGCGAATATGAAATATGATTGAGCTGGGCGCACTGCCACACCCTCTCCCGGAACACTTAACTTTAACTAGGCAACTTGAAGTGTTTCTGCCTTGGGTAAACATATGTATATGCGATCCAGACGGAAGCCCTGGGCCCCCAAGGATCAGTCAATAATGCTGACATCAAATTGAAGCCAAGCTGATGGCAACTGTCAGGCAAATGTGTTTCAATTTCGTTAAACTTCGGGCTAAAAGTGGATGAGAGCGGGTTAAGGATGGGTGTATTCGGTTCGATGGATGTAGGCTTGTGGGCGGAAAGTTGAAGGTTAGCAGGGCTCCGGGCTGTGGGTTGGAGGCTGAGGGCTAAGGGCAGTAGGGTGAGCCCGCAAACCGACAGTCGGCGGCCAGCGGTAATCCCTTCCGTTTCATTACACAAATGCGGCTTAAAGGGAAAATATATTATAAATACCTACAACAATATGAAAGCCCCATAAAATACGAGCCATATTAAAATGCAAATAAACCCACACATGCACTGAGAGGAATATGGGTTAGTCACCAGATATTAAATTAGTGGGTTGGATAAGCAAACAATAATACTTGACTAAACCTTAAAAATACACCAAAAGCTTCGCTTTTTTTATTATAATAATGTATAAATATTATTTCTCTGTGTATTTTGTCTCAAAGACTTTCGCTCTGGCAGGTGCGTATGCAAAATCTCATCGCCGTTGCTCTTTGTTAAATTGATATAATTAACCGAGCCCTGGCGTACTGAAACCGGATTGAAAGCCTGAAAATTGATCGTAAAGAATACACTGACTGGATGCTGGCAGCTTGCCTCATTATGGCTGCATAATTTTCGCTGCAAAACCCGGCAAATTGGCGCAAAAGAGCGTGTCCCTCCGGCTCCCAGCTCCCAACTGCCACCTCCCAACTGCCACCCTCAGGCACCATGCCCAAAAAATTCAAATGGAAAATTCTGCACATTTTGCTCCGTAAATTGGAATTGCCAGCAGGCGAAGCCAAGAGGACCAACAGAACCGGAAACCGAGCCGAGGCAGGTGAAAAGTGAAAGGCTGAAATGCTGTTGCCACTCTTAGCCGGCGAATTTGAGCATTTGAGCGCTTTTTTGCTAGTTTAGAAGCGCTTCGAGTGCTCTCTTCACGTGTCCTTGTTTGGGTCCATATCCTTGCCACCCTCGGTGTGTGTGCCTGTGTGGGTTGGTTTGTCGCCCTTGTCGTTGCTGGGAGCTTAGTGTAATTAAAGCTAAATAGCCTGCATAATGAGAAAGTAATTAGCAGTGTTGTTGCTGCTGTCTTCTGTCCCTCTTTGTTGGATGTGATCTATGCGAATTGATAAAATACCATCGTAGAAAAAACAGCGGATAAAATAGAATCCCTGCATAATTAATTTTATAAATCGAGCAATAGTCTTTGTTTATGATTTTTCATTACAAGCCCAGTGTGATTTGCTTAGTTGTTTCTCTTTAAACTGGTTTATCTACCGAGAATAATACACGGATTTTTTTTAACACTACTTATATGATTTATGTATGTCTGGCCATGGATATTAATTGAATTGGTTGGTTTTTCTTTTTGGTTTATGGCCGACCAGTGTTTTATGGCTTTCCGGCGGTAAGTTTTTATTGTTTTCTTAGCTCGCCATAACTCTAGCTGAAAGGATTTCCCATCCAGACAGAGCTTTAACAAAAACCGCCTTATCTATCATTATCTTTTGATATTTAATTTATAGCGGAAATAATAACAGAATATCAGAAGCAAGTGGCGTGTGTGTGTGTGGTACAGTTGTGTAGAAAAACATGGTCGCTAGCAGGTGGCGTTGCCACCTCGGCTTTGTCGATTATTGCCACCACGCTGCGCCGACGCAGTTCTGCATTTTGGCAACTTTTAACGAGCAGTTCTTAGAGGAAGTGGCAAGCTCTCTTCGGCCCAGAGCGCGCCAGTGTTGCAGAACAGAACGGAGTGTAGTGCTGGAAAGCCACAGAGGAAAGCCAAGACGCCATTAAGGCTAAGCGACGCCACACCAATTTGTTACTGGAGAACATTAGCCACACACCAAACCGACGGCATCGCGTGCGCAGACACCCAAGATGTTCCACAACATGAGTTCGCCGCCGACTATAGCTGCCACTCGATCGCGGCGATTGATTAAACCCAATCCGAAGTACACCAGCGATGACATCGACGATCTGAGCGATATCACCGAGGACGATGACGATTCCCAACTGCACAAGTCGGACGACGACGACGACGACGACGATCTGAGCGACGGTGAGTTCCAGGAGAAGCTGCGTCCCCGCAAGCTGCCGTCAGTGAAGCGTGGGCCTGGACGTCCGCTGAAGGCCAGTAAATTGGCCAACACGGCCGGCTCATCGGTGGCATCCAAGATGGGCGCTTCATCCGGACGCCCGACACCTAGCAGCCTGCAACAGCTGCTGCGCAACGATAGTGATAGCGATATTCCGGTGGCGCGCAAACGCTTCATGGGCGCCAGCGGTGAGGGCAGCGTGTCCCTCGACAACGGGGCCACCAAGATGCGCAAACTTCGAAAGTTGCCGCGGAGTTCATCGGTGACGTTTAAGATTAACACCGGCAGCGGTAATCGCTCTGTACCGGGCAAGTCACGGTCCGCGGGTAGTGGTGGTCGTGGAGGAGCATTGTCCGCTGCCATCGACTCGAAACTTTACAAGTCGGATGACGGAGACGACGTGCCCACGTTCACCATTGTCAACATAGACGACATTATCAATAAGGAAGATCCTTCGATAAGCAGAGCGAATATCAATATCGCCGCTGCCACAGCAGCAGTCGCACACACGAGCGGCGCAACTGGCAAAAAGCGGGGCCGGCCCCGCACCAGGGGCATCCCACCCAGCAGCAGCGCGGTCGAGAAATCGATCCCCTCGTCGGTGGGCTTCTCGCTAAGAAGTTTGAGTTTACCCAAACGCAGCAACACCGCCAAAAAATCGCGTTCCGGCTACAATCAAAACTTTATTCCAATGAAGCGACAGCCACGAATTCTCAATACGGAAATGGGCAAGAAAGCGCAGGCCATTAATCCGCTTATGAACATGGAGGATGAACTGGAGCCCGACTTGGATTTCGACAATGATGAGCCTCGGGCAAAGATTGTGAAACGCAAGAATGTCAAGAAAATCGCTTCTACATCTACAAGGCAGAGAGCATCGGCCGGCAATGCTCGCCCGGAGCGGAAACTGTCGCAGCTACTGCATGAGTCCGGTTCGGAGTCGAGTTCTGGGGAGCTGACGCTCTATAAGAAGCCCGGTATCAGTATCCAGCTATGCAGCAAAGAGAATAATCAGCAGGAGGACGACCTGAAGGATTCGGATGGTGCGGATGCGGAAGACAGCAGCAACAGCAGTAGCCATACCGAATACTTTCCACCAGAGACGACCACCTATGGCGAGGAGGACGGGTGCGTCGTTAAAAAGATCACCTGCTATGAGTCGTGGCACGTGATCATACCGTGGGAATCGCCGCCGAAAACGACGGAGCATCAGCGCACCTTCCTGGCGCTGCCGCTCGTTAAGCTGGCCAATGCCGCAGGCCGGATCAAGATGCCGTCCAGCAAATGGTCCAGAGTCATCAACCTCTACAAGGTGCCGCCAACGTTAATGCAGCGCCAGACAATGACCATATTCACCGGCGACCTGAAGCCATACAACATACCCGAGGAGGAGCGGGACAAGTACCAGCCGTCGTGCGTCCTGTTCCGGCGTTCGACGCTGGACAGGACCAAGTGCCGGGTGTCCTACGATCGGGCCGTTGTCTTCAAGAACAAATGGTTCTATGCGAATATCGATGGGAGGCACGTCAATTTATTGGGTTCCCCGAAAACGGTCGCCACCCTCAAGGATGTGGAGATCCTGCTGGATATTGTCGATCATCTGACACTCGACAGCGAAATGGTCGAGATAATAAATGCCAACTGCACCGGCAGGTATAACCACTAGGACACGCATCACATTATAAAAAACACCCGTACATACACACAATTAATGGGATTTTCATTCGAGAAATCGAAAAGGAATTATATTGCATGTCCGTTAGCTTAGTCCCACTCACACATTTATTTGCATTTACACCAACACCTGAGCTCTGTAAACTAAATAAAGCCCGCCGACATCACCGAAAACAAAAAGCGCCAGAAAAAGCAGGAAGCGGGGACAGGACCAGGAACCAACTCAAACAGCAGAGCAAGTTCTTTTCTCATTAAGTCCTGTGTTTACACATAGACACCCGCCCACTCGCCCTGCCACCCCATCACACACACACAAATAAAACACCTCTTTTATCCACACACACACACAGACAGCTACTTGTCTATACATATTTGCGCAATTTTCACACCAGCGGCGACATCGGCTGCGAACGAGCCTAATGAGTCCAAATCCGTTGCCCGCAACTTTCGGTGCCACGCCCCCTCGGGGGTCCTGTGAAATCCATAGGACACGATACGATAGCCCTGCCTGCCAGCCTGTGCCTTTATCTGCCCTGCCCCCTCCCGACAGCCAGCCAGCCAGCCCGTCTCTCCGGGCCTGTTGACAAAATAAAGGCCAACAAAATGAGAGGCCCTGGTGTAATTTGTTGAAAAGCTGCGTGGTAAAAAAGAAACATGTTCACACTGGACGACCGGAAAAACAACAAACAACACCAGAGCAACAACAAGGGGCAAGATACAACAACAGCAAGCACAATGCCAAATAGAAGGCAAGTTTTAATTAATCATGACGGGCTAAACAAAAGTCGAGTTTTCCACACAGAGGATATGTGTCTTAAATACTATAATGATAAAATAAAATACTTCAAAATGTTTAAAAATAATACTAAATAATAAAACAACGAGTGTCCTTAATTATTTTTTAAGCAGACTTATTAATTACTTTTCTTTCCCAATAAAAACTTTCCTCCAGTGTAGATGAAAGGAATCGGCTTCAGTGGCAGTGAACAAAAATGTCAACGGCAAACGTCTAGATAAATATGTCAGTGACAAAGCTGGCAGCCAATTCAAAGCACTGTCTCCCCTAGCCCAGGAAATCCTTCCCCATCCACTTAAAAAAACCCCCACCTCCTACTCAGTGAGTGGCTGACAAATATTTGCCCGAGCGATAATCAAATTTACATTGTGCTCAAGTAGAAAACGAAGAAGGAGCCCTGGGAGTGGGCCACTTGGAGGTCGTCCTTCGAGTGGCTGAAATGGGTGGTACAGTGGGTGGCTGGGTGACGAGGTGGTTGGTAATTGCGAGTCAAATGACACCAACGGCCATTGGCAGGCGGATCAGGAGCTGGAGGAGCAACAGCTGGAACAAAGTGCGGGCTGCAGCTGCGACAGGTACAAGCGCATTAAGCCAACGGCGCTGGCGTGCGGCCTCTGCCGGAAAATACAAGGAAAATTACTTAACTCCGGTCGTCATTAAAGAGCTTGGCCCGCTGGCTTTCCACGCTCCGAGAGTTTCCTTCGTAAAACACTGAAGCGCCGGCACTCAGAGTTCAAGTGTTGCTGTGCCTGCCGCAGGACATTAACAATATTTCCGCGCTTCTGTGCACGTGTGTCTGTGTCCTTGTGTTTGACTGTGTGTGCAAAGGACCTTAAAGTTTATGCTAATGCACTATAGGAAATATGACCACTTTTTCTGGCCAAAAATAATATCTCAAGAACGAAACCAGATATTTAAGTTCTGATTTTTGATTTGAGTTCACATGGTCAATAGAATTAAGATTTAAAAAAAATGTGGGCGTGGCACCGCCCACTTTTTAAGAAACACATTCTAACTCAAAAACTTTGCAAGATATTTAGATTTTGATTTTTGATTTGAGTTTATATGGTCAAAAGAACTCAGAAATGAAAAAATTGTGGGCGTGGCACCGCTCCCTATTTAAAAATAACATGCTAACTGTTCGGTTTTGCACTAGTCTCACAGCTAACAGATTCACATTCAAGGTGTTGAGGTTGCCTCCTTAAATTATGAATTTCTTCGAAAGTGCATCTTTATGCATATTCATATTTCACTCATTTGAAGAAAATTAAACAATCTAAAACATGGACTAAATTACATTGTCCGACTCGGCCTGACTTAGTTTAAATCTCTTTTTAAAAATGTGATTTAATTCTAAAAATTTCTGTTGCTAGACTACTTACATTTTCACTTTATTAAAAAGACAACACAAGTTTTTTGGACACTTCACATACACAAACACATAATACAAACCACATTGAGAAGTATTCATTTCAAAACTTTTGATTTTGTCCATAAAATTTTCAGTATTCGCTTTTTAAAAATAGCACCAAAAAATCTTAAATTCTAAGCTCATGCAAATGTTAACATCAACAGCTGTTTTTAACAGCTGATTTTTTCGCAGTGGCGCCATCTATGGAAATTTCTGGTACGCAACATTAAATATTAATCTATTGTGAATGATATGCAGTTAAAATTATTTATATTCTTTAACTTTCAAAAAATGGTTTTTGGCCAGAAAAAGTGGTCAAATTTCCTATAGTGTAATGGGCGCCCGCATGCACTTGTATTTGCATTCGAGCCATGCGGGTTAACCAGTGGCAACTTCAAAAGGAAATCTCCTTTTTATTAATCTAATTTGAAAGGCTTTGCGAGTGTTTCAAAAGCAGAAACTATGCGGCTAGGTCGTCTCATATTTATTTATAGCTTTAACTAAACAGCGTTCGTGGAACAAAAGTTTCACATCGAAAGTTTGCAAGATACACGACCAAACTCAGCCAATTGGCACTCTGGAACGCCCACACAAAACTCTAACGCCCACTGGCAATGGGGCAAACTGAGCAACAAATTACACGACACTGGGGAATTTATCCTTGCCGAAATATTTGCGGCAAGGCGTATGCCGCGAACTCAGCTTGTCTAATAAATTAAGGCAGCTAACTGGCAGCCCGTTCCGGCCTTACTATATCTTGTCGATTGGCCCTGGCCCACACTCTCTTTAACCGACATCCTGCTGTGCAGCTCCCTGCCTCCTGCACACACCCAGACAATTTCGCTTAAATTAAACACAAACGACAAGTTGAACTGTAAACAAATGCGACAATTTATCTTACTTTCATTTAATTGTCAGCGGAAAAATGCTTGCCAAAGCAAAACCAAAGACAACAGCCAAAATGGAGCAGTCATGATTACATAATGCACAATACGTTCCCGTAAATATGTATTTTAGTACATATACATATATTTGTTTGTGGGCATGGGAGTGTGTAAGATAATCAACGTGAAATTAGCGCTGACAAATTGCCAAAATGCCAAAAGGAACATTTTCGGTGAGGATCATCGCAGTAACTCCGCGCTTTAGCCGGCAAAAGCGAAAATTCAAAAATTTCCCTACAGCTCACACACAGCAGAAACGGGCCAACCAGCAGAGAGTGAAAATAATGGAAAACGTATTTATTTTGCCATGAACGAAAACAATGCAAGCCCAGGCGGGCAGAACGAGTTGTCTGGCCAACAAAAATATTTTCATAGATATTTTTGCGCTATTTAAATGCCGCATATTTTATTCATCTGCCCCTCACTTTCCCCTTGTCAAGAGTGTTTCCAATTGTTGCCAAAATAAATAGCCAAAGTAATGGTTCTACATTTAATCGTTTATATTGCTTGCTGTCTAATTTGTTAATATTTTCAAAGAACACATGTTTGTTTATTCAATCAAAATATTTATTATTTTCTTGAAGCATATTTTTAAAGCTGCTTGGTTAGTTGCAGCTTTTTTAATGCTTTTGGGGAGAAAACATCCAAGTTGGCATCTCAGCTTTCTATTTCATTTTGGCCTGGTCTCGTCCTTTTTTTGTCCAAAAAGTATGGTACGCTTTGTGGATGCCACGCAGCGTGCAATATGATAAATAGAGTGTGCGGCTGCCGCCACCACTGCTGGTGCAGTAGTTTGCTGGTAGTATCGCAGCTAGTGGTGGTGCGGCCTGTTCATCACAAAGTGGGTCAGTTGTTTACTGACACAGTGACTCTCAAGTACACCGCCCATCCACCCACCCGTCGCTACATCAGTATGTGGCAGCTGATGTTGCGTTGTGTTTGTTGCACTCGAGCGTCGACAGACGCACTCAACACCCAACGCTGCAACAGTAGCTGCAGCAGCAGCACCACCATCAGCTATAGCTGACACAGTTGACGGCTACAGATGTAATGCAGGCGGGCAGCTAACCACTCAGTCAACCTCGGCCACGCCCCCAAGTTCCACTTGCTGTAATTTTTATATTTTGTTTCGCCATAGTGTTTAGCAGAAGCATTCCTTTGAGTGTGTGTTTGTGTGCGAGTGACGGAAATGCAAAAGTGTCTCATTGTGTTGCCCTCGGGCTTTTATTTCTATTTTTTATTTCATCCTTTTTTGGCCTGGCAGCAGCATTTTTGCTAAGTACTTGGAAACATTTAAATGTTGCAACGACGAAGGGTAAATGCCAGGGGGGAAGGATGGTAAGTTGCATGCGAGACTCTTCTCCCCTCACCCTGGGCACTCCCTCGGATTGAAATTTGTGGCAAATTGAAACAAACAATCTTCAAAGGCCAGGAAAAGCAACGCCTCAAGCTTCAATTCTTTGGAATTTCCTGATTGTGACCTGGTTCTGAACATGAAGAAAGTAGATCTTGCAATTAAATCAACACTACTTTTAATTTATTTCTATTTCATACATACATACAGGACTTGAACAACTCGAGTCCCTTGAGGAAAGTGTCGACGGATAAAAAAAATAAATGGAAACCTTAAACTGATATCCTATTTCACTTTTATTTTTTTTGCCGTGCATCTGCCATTGTAACAGTTTTTGCAGGTCAAGTGTGTGGTGCATGCCACCACAATGGACCGCTGCAGTCACCCGACCATGCACCCTTCCATCCATTGTTCTGGCCCCGTTCCTACGAAATGATGGCACACCTGGGGCCAGGTTGCCAGCGCGCTCTAAGTGAAACAACCAACACAAATATCACGAGCTTGCCACGCAAATAAACAGAGCTTCGTCGTTTTAGGAAAGCAAACAAAGTGAAGCGTTGCGTATACGCAACGTGCGCCGTTGTCTAGCCAGCTTTTCAGCCGCCAGTCAAAGTCGCCGTAGCTGTTGCTGTTGCTGTTGCCGTTGTCGTTTGGTTTTTGTTATGGGTGCGGCTGACTCATTTGATTGCAAGTCGGGGGCGTGGCCCATCCGGAGCCCTCTTAAGCTCTCGGCTAAAATTTCTAATGCACTTTGCGCGTGTTTATTATTTTAATTACAGAGCATGCGAAACTTAAATGCCTTCAGATGCAAATTGCTCTTGTCTGCCACTCATCCGGCGCTTGTTTGCCTGCGCGTGCTGCGGCAGCTGGAAGAAGGATGAGGTGACATCAGCGGCAGCAGCAACATCAACTGCTCTCCCTTACAACATTAACTATTAAGCGCTTGGTTTGCTCATTAAAATGCTCCATGATTATTTGTTTATAAGCTTAGCTGGCAGAGTGCTGAAAACTGCTGGCAGTTTATCATTTTATGAGGGGCGCGCTCGCGTGTTGGGGATGCATAAAAAAAGATCTCCCCACTAATGACACCACTTTCGTATTGATTTCGCTTTTGCCACCATTTTTTCCTTCCCACCGTGATGTGCACTTTTTGTGGCCCGGCTAATGAAGTGGTTTGCCTTGGAACAAAAATCCCCACAAGTGGGTCACAATGACTATTCCTTTTTTTTTTTGGATTTCGTTTTATTTTTTCCGTTTGTTCTATTTCCTTGCTGCTCTATAAATAAGGCGACAGATAGT